AACATGACATTCATGCCTGATATCTGCATGTATACTTATAACCACAACTGTATGCTTGAGGCTACCACCCTTAGTTTACCTCACCTTATTCTCTCTACAGCAAAATAAGAACTAGCCTACAGCTTCAAAAAGAAAACCTGTATGTCCAACCAATAAATTTTCAAGTTTTAAAACAGCTGCTGAAGAGGAAAAAAAATGTGAAAAGATTTGGTTTCTTAAGATCAAGCATCTGGCACAGTATAATTCAACATTCAACAATAACAGTACAGAGCATCAACAATAATGGAAGCTTGAGACTTGCTACAAAAGTATGACTGCCAATTGATTTTACTGCCAATTGAAGTGGTAATCAAGCTTTTTCATGTGTGGGCTTCACTCTGGTGACCTCTCTTGATTCAGTTAATCCTGTCCTTCCACTTACACAATTAGCACCACAATCATTGAAAACATTTTAAAAGTATGTATGGCATCCCAGAGTGTTAAAGTAAGGCTGTTGAATCAGTTTTCAGTGAGATATAACAAGGATCATTATTACAGTAAAAACAGGACACTGGCTATGGTGAGGTAAAGCAGTAATGTAATTCCAGCTGTGCAACTTTAATGCTGGTATCTACTCACTGTAATGAGACAACGGGCTTAACCATTCCTAACCTATTGTGTCGCTTTCGTAGAATTAAAATTTAATAATGCCAATGATACCTGAACCTGATGGAAACAGAAACCTATCTCCTCATTAGGAAAAGCAAAACTTACTTAAATAGAAGTAGCACACTGACATGTTGGAAGCTCAATAGCTTACTTTTGTCTTTCTACATCAACACACTGGATTTGAAAGGAAACCATCACAGTGAGGTTAGTCTTTACTTTTGGTACTTTCTGTCAGTCACCTGGCAAGACTGAAAACTACTAAGCCAAATTTTTGGTGCCATTTATTTGGTAGAATAATGATTCTATGAAAATGCTGACTTCTCCTTGGGAAAAACCCCTAATTTGCTCATTGCTAATCACAATATTGACAACATTAACAATACCAAAAAAGGATCCAAGTTAAATTGTATGGAAATAAAAGTTTGTGAACTTTTGTTTCCTTATTTTGTTTAAAAATCAAAATTATTTCTTCCTCTGGTAGCCCTGCAGTAGCCTAATGTTAGCCATCTGATAACCCCTAAGCTATACAGAAAAGTTGAAGGACACAATGGACTTAGTAGGGGTGACCAGCACATGTCAAGAGGAAGAAGTTCCTCCAATCGACATTCCTTTTCCTGGATGCCCCACGGATACTTGCAGGCACTCAGAACTCTTAAGAAAGGAGGGGAAACAAAACAAGGTCGCATCCTGTGCAGGTCTCTGGAAATTAACTGTAACCCTGATCCATTGTTGCCACAACTCAATAATATTCAGACTGTGTGCATGTATCACAGACCGTTATAAACAATGTACACAAGAGCAGGTTATAAAAATCAATTATATGCTCCCTTTCGATGTCACCATGGCAAAAACGTTCAAATAAACAAGACCAACAGAGAAGAATTCAAAATACTCTGTATGATGTTGATAAAGATACTGAAGAAGTACTAAAATGGAGGCACACCAAACAATTCATGACCCATTCCGCATTTCTATGGTATTGAAAGCTGAGCTTAGTGGGTAGAGAAGTTCCCTGGAAACAGTGAAAGAGAAACCACATCTACTCTCTGCATTTTTTTTAATTTTAGATTTAAAAAAAAAAAAAAAGTGTGAAAAACAGGAATTAATATGATGAAGCTGCCACCATGTCCAACATCACCTGAATCCCACATGCAGTGACTCAAAATATATATTGAAATATACGTATTTTTTCTTATGCTGTTAGACTTCTTCAATTAACCCTTGTTTCAACAACTTATCAAGAAAGTCCTTGATGTTTTTATTTGCATTTCTTGGGAAGAAGAGATTGCCAATAACGCATTCATGTGTTTGACAAGCTACTGACCTACCACTAATTTCTACAGTCTGTCCTTCTAGTTCCATTTTGAATGTCACATCACTGGCATCACTATCTGTTCAGCCCTGTTTATGTTGTTACCACGCACCTCAAAGTCACTGCTCCCTTGGCTCTATACCAGCAGGTTCAGGAGTCAATTAAGCCAGATGTTTTAGATGTTGCAGTGCTCAGAGTTTGGTGTTTTGTTAAGAAACCAGCTGCAGCACAGCATGTTGGCACTTTTATAAACTTATTGGACCGCACCAATAAGTTTATAAATAGACAGAATTAACATTGACTGATTGGTTTAAGTCACTGTGAAATGTTCCTGTCATGTGACGCATTTGTGGCCATGACATACAAAATAAACACCGCGATTATTGTGCTGAGATAAGTGTTGACATTTATTTTGTAACTGCGCTGCCTAAATTCCTGAAAACTACTGGTAAGCAAAACATGTCATGGCATGTTTTGAACACTATTACAAATGTTTTGTTGACAGTAACTTAACCTTTGACCTGTATGTTGCTGGGTAAAACTGATGAGTAGAGCGGAGGTAGCTGTACATGGCTTAGGTGGTAGCGTAGGTGGTCTACCAATCTAAAGGTAGTGGACTGCTCCCTGACTCCTCCAAAGGTACTGACCCCCGCTATGTAGGCATCTGTATGAATGTGTGTAACACTTATAGTAAGAAAGTGTTTTGAATGCTCAACTGAGCAGAAAGGCACTATATAAGTACCAGTCCACCTACCAAAATATACAATTTACTAACATTTGGGCAACTTTAAACTGAACTGCTATAAAGCGTCTATCAGGTGAACACCAATCCACTGTGGTTGAGTTTTGCTGTCAAATTATTGTTTTAACTTAAGTAATGAATGACACATCCACGTGTAATGATGTGTAACGAGTTCACCTGCCGTCTGATATCTGTGTACGTGGAACCCTCTGCCAACACATGAAGGTTAAAAAAAAGAAAGAAGACGTAGTAGTTTGAGTTACTCATATGGGGACACCACAGTTTCTCCCCGTGTTTATTTACGGCACTTAATAAAACATGAAGGGCAGCCGGCCAGGTTATCACCCTCTGCTGCAATGCGTTTGAAATGAAAACGGCACCAGATCACATCTTAGCTAGCGTTTTTTTGTTTTTGTTTTGTCAGCTGATTTCAAGACCGATCAGAGTTTCAACTCACCCGACTAAACCAAACGCTGAGCTGCGTCTCTGACAGCAGAGCGAAGTAAAAGCGCTGGGAGCTGGGCTGGATGTAGAAGGGCTCTTCTTCGCTCCTCAGCGGACAAAGCAGCCTCCGTGGCCAGCCGGTTAGAAAATACATGACGGCAAACTCACTCCGCCTCGGCGCAGCAGTGCCAAATAGTTTGTGGCCCCCTGTTCCTCCTTAAGTGCAATATTTAATCCAGGTGACTCATGAGCGGCTCCGGAAATACAAAAAAAATTATAAGGTATATACAAGCCAGTGTTGACACCGGTTAAGGGTACCATACAGCTTCCAAACAGCCGAGTGAGGCTACACAGCTAGCCCGGGCTAGCGCTGGCTTTTCAACTTAAAGCTAATGAGAAGTCCAAGTGTAACCGAAAACAACAGCGCGCAAACCCGCAGCGTCACCATACGGCCCCAAACGGCGGGTTCAGACTCAAGAGCGGACCGATTAACTTCCACACCCGGTGCCGTGTGGGTTCTAGCGAAGTGTGGATCTGCGGTGTTTAGTAACAGCAAAGCGTCCAGTTTTCACTCCTCTGTGCCTCACCGTCGCCATCTTTCCAAGAGTCTGTCTGACCAAAAGCTGATTGGCTGCAATAGTGGAAGTTTGCGTCCTGTTGACATCTGACGTCACCGCTCCGTTGTGCGAATCCAGGTGGCGGTGTCGGCAGCTTGGCTCGATGCTGCCACCTGGTGGTGAAAATGGAAATGCCTGGGAAAAACAATTTCATAGGGGTGTGACTTAACTGCAGTCTATCTGACATCTTTTAATTGTAATACATTCTTTTTCTTCTACTTTTAATTCTTCTTTTCATTATTATTATTTGCAACCATTGCACTGAATCCTGCAACCATAATCCACATTAGATTTGCTATGTTCTTTTTAAATCAACATATATCAACACAAGCTTTTAACCTAATTATTTAGAGCCTGTGCATCAGTTTTATCTTTTATATCCAGCTCATAAATCCATCCATGAAATGGCGCGCTATTTAGCAGAATAAAAGTATTATTGAAATAACATGGAATTTTAATCATGTTAGTGTATCATTCTTCCCATAATAATAAAATAAAATAAAGTTTGTGGAACAGGACTATGCTGAAGCACTCAGTGAGTGTTGATGGACAAGTAGAGAGAAGGTCAGGAGGAGTTGCACTGGGTCTTTGTGGAGCCAGAGAAAGGGTAGGTTTACAAGATGGATATATGACCTGCTGTGTTGTATGGTTTGGAGATCACAGTGTCAACATAAAGACGGGAGACTGATCTGGAGGTGGCAGAGCTGAAGATAATGAGATTACCACTGGGAGTCCACCAAGATTAGAAATGAGTATATCAGAGAAATAGCTCAGGCTGAGTGGTTTGAAAAATAAGTCAAGAGAGGCAAGGCTGAGATGGTTTGGAGCGAAGGATAGCAGATATACGGGACAAAGGATGGAGCTGCCAGGCAGGAGGAAAACAGGAAGACCACAGAGAAGATTCATTCATGTAGTAAAGGAGGATGTGCAGTTGTTGTGACAGAGGAGGATGCTAGAGAGATGCAGGGAAGCAGCTAGATGTTGTCAGCGGCTAAAGAAGGAAAAGAAGCAGTGTTTGTGAGTTTTCCTCCCCATAAACATTTACTGTTTATATATATATATCACTAACGCCACAGATATAAGACATGTATTTAATTTTTTTTTTACTTTATTTATTTATTTATTTACATTTTATTAGACTAGGTGCTTTTTAAAAGTAAATAAATACAACTAACGCGTCAGTAGGTGGCGGTAAAACTCTTATAAGTTCCGCAAACCGCCAAAAAAGTGAAGAGAAGAAGAAGCAAAGGAAGAAGCATGGCTGCAGATATGAGATTACCGACCATTAGAAAAACCGTGTCGCTATCAGCGTCTGCTTTTGACCGAAAAGATCTGGTCGTACCGGGGGATGTTATTACTTCAGACACTGGGTTCATGAGGTAGGTGTTGGTTTTATTTGAGTTATTATGGGAAATCAACCAAACACAGGAGTGTGCTGCTGTTCGGGTCTGTTTCAGGTATCTGGCTTGTAAAGGTAAATAAATAAAAGCTCCAGATGACAGCCAGTGCCATACTGAATTAGCAGGTGAGCATAAAGTCAGCCGGTCTCATTTGCAACCTTCTACACTGATACACAGTAAGTAAGGATAAGGACTCTAATCGGATAAACTGCCGCATTGTGTTGTGTGACCTCTGAATGCTGCACTTTACCCTTGTTTCTTTTTCTTTCTTTTTTTTTGGCTGTTCTCTTCAGAACTAATGTTTGATACCGTCTGTCCGCAGGGGTCATGGCACCTACGTTGATGACGACAAGTTGACAGCTTCAGTCGCAGGAGAGGTGCAGAGGGTGGACAAACTCATCTGTGTCAGGCCACTTAAGACCAGGTGAGTGATTGAACTCTTAAACGGTCAAAGACTTAGATAGGCCTGTCATCTATATACTCATTCTTACATTGTAAAGTGTGCTTTGATTGCAGGTTTAATGGTGAGGTTGGAGATGTTGTGGTTGGCAGAATTACAGAGGTAATTCCTAGTATTTGTTCTCATATACAACCACTTTAGTTATAAGAAAAGACAGTGATTGCAGAAACTTGTTTTCATTTTGGTTCATTTTGGGTTTTTTTTTAAATTTTCTTCTTCTTCTTCTTTAAAATGTATAGGTGCAGCAGAAAAGATGGAAGGTGCAGACAAACTCCCGACTGGACTCTGTCCTCTTGTTGTCTTCTGTAAACCTGCCAGGAGGAGAGTTGGTGAGATGGTAGAAAGTGTGATTCACTGGGAGAAGACAGCTTTGGCTGACGTATTAAAATTAATATTTGATCATCTCCTTTCTTTCTGTCTTTCTTTCTGTCTTTCTTTCTTTCTGTCTTACTTACTTAGAGGAGAAGATCAGCAGAAGATGAGCTGACCATGAGAGAATATCTTCAGGAGGGAGATCTCATCAGTGTAAGTCAGACTTCTCTATTATAATTTCTCACTGGCTTTCCAGTGATTTTATTCCCGGTTACATAATCTGTGTTGAACCTTTCTTGTGGTTTCAGGCAGAGGTGCAGTCTGTCTTCTTGGATGGAGCTCTTTCACTTCACACCCGTAGTTTAAAGTATGGAAAAGTAAGTTATTCCAGTGTACACAAAGATATGTGAAAAGGTAAAGGGCAAGTTTATTTATATAGCACATTACAAATGACCAGAGTTGATCAAAGTACTTCACAAGTAAGATGTCAGGGTTTTTTTAAAGGCCGGAAAGTAGAAACTGAGCAAAGAAAAGTAAAAAGATCTATTATGGCAGATCTATTATGAAATAGAAACACATTCAAGAGACTCAGGGCAACAACTGAAAAGCTCTATGACCCCTATTTTTTTTTTTTTTTTTTTTTTTTTTTTTGATTAGCAGACCTCAGAGCTCCGAAAGGAGTGTGGACATTAATAAGAGCAGACAAATACGGGGGGCAGGCCAACCTATTTAGTATCCTAAAAACAATCAATAAAATATTCAAATTAACCCTAAAACTGACAGGATGCCAGTGAAGTCAAGCTAAAACTGGAGTAACTGTGTTAGTTCAATAATAAGAGTAACGATCGTTATTTTTATTTTCATTTAAACTAACACCCTGTCTCTGCTTCCTCTGACTATCAGTTGGGTCAAGGAGTACTGGTCCAGCTTTCCCCTTCTCTGATCAAGAGGCAGAAAACGCATTTCCACAACCTGCCGTGTGGCGCATCCATTATCCTGGGGAATAATGGCTTTGTGTGGTTGTATCCCACACCGGGCCAACAAGAGGAGGAAGCTGGGGGTTTCTACACCAGCCTTGAGGTAGGACACCACAAAAAACTGTATTCCATATTTTTATTACTGATCAATGGGCATATGAATTTGGAAAACAATTTCTTGTTGTTTTAGGAAATGTAGGAATTTCAAATTGATACAATCGGTGCATTCACTAAAAATGTTGGTTGACTTCAAATCTCAGTGGAATTGACCTCAAGGTCAAAGGTCAAGTTCTCTGAAAGGTTTGTCTACTCAGAAGCTGAGGGGTAGCACTGGTGGTTGCCCACATTTTTCCTTCTGCTTTCCCAAGTTTGGAAAAGTAATTGATACTAATTTAATGTTTGAGTATTGATTTAAGTACATTTACATCAAGATTGAAAGAACTATGTGTCAGTTTTCTCTGCACACAAATCGCAATAGTAGTTTTCAGCTTGGCTGCTAAAAGTTCACTGAGAGTATTGAGCTGTTCTTGTCTATCAGTAGGAGGATTCAACACACAGCCATGCTTATAAAGAAAGTAACAAGAGACAGAAAAGCAAAAATGTATCAAAATATAGTTAATATATTGTATGTTATATATCAAAAGGTAGTAAATTTAAAAATGTAATTTAAAATAAAGGTGTGCACTGAAAAACTAAGTAGAGAAAACATGTAGAGAACCTAAGCATTCAGCACAAGGAACATTTTTTATTTTTTTCTAAATGGAAAGGCCTGGTTGTAGTTTGCAAAATCAGTGAGAGTTCTGGAACAAATTTTTATGGACTGATGAACTAAAACTTGGAAAGAGGCTCGGGCATGCATGGCTGTCAATGGAACGGGAACGCTGCCATCCATTAATGATTTTTACTGCTCACACAAGTAGTGTTTTGTGTGCTTAGCTTCAACCAAATGCACAAACTTTCATCATTCAACCTAAAGGCAAGGCCAGAGCAACCAACTATTCCATCAAGTTGGGGCATCCTTGACTGTTTGAGTCAATCACCTTCGTGTGCCACACTCGGCTTGGTAAAAAAGCACCTTCAGCAACACGGGCTGAAGGCAGCTTCAGTCTGAAGGAGCATTAGAAAGACGTTTAAAAAAAAATGTTTGCAAGTTGAAGACTTGCAAGAGTATGTAATGATGCTCCGGATGCTTGTGGTTTACACCGTACACACAGAGCTTATTCGTTTGTGCATCTCTCATCTCTGGTTCCTCAGCCTGTCAGCCTGTTGGATCGAGAGGTCATTTCACGGTTGAGAAACTGCCTGCTGGCTTTGGCTGCGCACAAAGTCCTCCTGTATGACACCAGTGTTCTCTACTGCTACGAATCATCACTTCAGCACCAGGTAAGAATCACTCCAGTAAAAACCAGCCTTTGAAACTAAATTATTGACATTACTACAATTTACAGTCATTTTTTGTTATAATGACACCTGTTGTTTCATGTTTGTAAACAATATGATTACAAAACTATTGCAACACCAGAAAACCCCCAATTCTTTTCTGTGTCATATTGTGCCATCTAGTGGTCATACTGTAATTCTCCAGCTCCTGGGCACCACTAGTGGAAAAAATACTGTGCAGTTCTCAACTTTGACTCGGCTGTTTTTGCAGTGTGGAACAGTCACGGTTGATTTCATTGCCCTTTGGGGTGGGGAACAAATGACTTAATCGCCCATGCGTCTCGCAAACACTACTCTTGCAATGATATCAGCATATCCACTATGTGGCACATTTTTCTTCTGTATTATATTTACAATCGAGCCAACCCATATAAAGTGTTACTGTGCACTCGCGCTCAAGCTGCAACTCGATAAAAACACTTTCTGTTACCATAAACACAGACTGAAAACATGTACATCCATGGGTGTATGTGGTTATGCTTTTGATTTATGTTGTCTCTGTAGGTGAAGGACCTCTTAAAACCAGAGGTGATGGAGGAGATTGTAATGTTGACACAACAGAAGCTCTTGGAACAGGAGGGTTAAAGAGCCCAAAGCCTTGTCACAAGTCAAAATCACATCAGGCCAGCTGTGGACCCGACCACTGATCTGAAAGCTGAATTAGCTTTATTTTCTTAGAGATATAATTAAATTGTCAAAGTCCAACGTGTTTTATTAAAGGAAACCAGTATTATTGTTGGGTTGTTTTTAATAGCAAACGCAAGCGAAGTGTAACTCGTTCAATGTGTGCAGCATTCCAGCTATTCTAAAGTTTTACAAAATAATAGTCAATCTTTTTTTCTTTTTTTTTTTTCATGTGAGATATATACTGTATACAATAAATTTTGTGATTTCTATAAATTTTCACTGCATCTCAGTGTGGTCTGTCTGTGAACAAGGAAAAAACGTATCTGGGAATCTTTATTGTTTGGGCTCTAGTTCTTACAGGATTTTTTTTTTTTTTTTTATTTAAATATCAATATTGGGCAATTTTAAAAATCTGACATAGTAGCCAATATTTTTTTGTCTTCTTTCAGATAGATGAAAAAGATTTCTTGAAATTTTCCGTGTAGTTACTAATGACCCTTTACTAAGATTATGTGACGGTGCTGTTTAAAATGATATTTTTGTATCGTTGCAACAAGTTACACATTATTTATTTACACTCTTTAAAAGTTTTGTTGGATCAGCTGGTTGTTCTGTTTGTGGTGTGCCAAACACATGTTGGCAATAGGAAAGTTTCAGAGTTGTGGAGCTCTTTCAGTCATGTTAAGGTTAATTTATTAGACATTAATCTGATATATTGGTTAAGCTGATAAGAACAAACTTCTCACGTCAGCAGTAAAAGTTACGTATAATCACCATTTTAGTGGTTTTAATGGTGTCTGGAAATTGGTAGTTTTTAGTTATTATTTTAGGTTTGAGGGTATTCTTGCATAATCCATCCACTTTAAACGGCTCAATAATGGTGAAATGGGACTTTTCTTGAATAGATTGCTCCATAACCTCCTTTTCTTCTGTTTTACACATCCTTTGGTGGATTTGCTAATGTGCTAGGGGTCACTAGCTTGTAAAAATGTTTGAGCAGCTGGAACTCTATGATAAAATTCAGAAGTCATAGTTGACTCAGTAACTGCCCAAAGTGCCCAGTCACTGAGACAGTGGAAAAGCTAAAGCAAACCCAAACCATAATGTTTCCACCACCATGATTCACAGTATGAGTATGGCTTTGGTATTTGCCACTTCACTGGTACTGTAAACTGTAGGTTTTTTTTGTTTTTTTTAAACTTTCTTTTTATTGTTTTTCTTTAAACACTATACAACAAAACAACAACAACAAAAAGATAAATACAACAAGTAGGATAACAAACAAAAAAAAACATGTTGGATCTCTTTGTTTCTAGTTTGTGGTAATGAGGTATGTTTGTTCTTAATTTTGGGTGTTATAAAAAATCTAATTACATTTTCCAGCAGTGCAGTCTCCAGGCACGTGATGATGTTGTTGACTGCTGTATTTTCCAGGTTTGTGACCATTCCTCATCAGATATGTTCACTCCCACTGTAGTTTTATTCTAATTTTCCTCCTGGACAATAAATGCTTTCCCTTGACACCTCTCATGTAGGTTAGATTTGTATAATATCTTTCTTGCGGTTGCAAGAATCCCTTGCTAACCCTGTGAAGAAAGTTTTCTTTTCTCTGCTTTTAGTGTCTTTAAGTTCCCTTAAAGTGGATAATTACAACACACCAGAACACAACAATATATATGTTAGAGATTTAAATTAGGTAAATTCCTTTAGATCGTGTAAAATATATATTTATATACAATCATAGGTTCACTCCCTACAGATATCCTGATAACATGCCACCCCTGATTCTAATAAGTATCTCAAAGTGGGATAAATGTTGAGTTAGATGCTTTAAAACTGAGTAAAGTAACCAAATAGGGCGAAAGGCGGGGTACACCCTGGACAGGTCGCCAGTCTGTCGCAGGGCCAACACACAGGGACAGACAACCATTCACACTCACATTCACTCCTAGTGACAATTTGGATTAATCAATTAACCTATCCCCACAAGCTGCATGTCTTTGGACGGTGGGAGGAAGCCGGAGTACCCGGAGAGAACCCACGCAAACACGGGGAGAACATGCAAACTCCACACAGAAAGACCCCGGCCTGATGGTGGAATTGAACTCAGGACCTTCTTGCTGTGCGGCAACAGTGCTAACCACCATGCCACCGTGCTGCCCAAGTTTGATATGCCAAAAATCATATATCCATACATATATCCTGAAGACAATTAGGCCTGGGCTAGATCATATTCTTGAGCAGTGAGTTCTTTATGGCTTTGATCAAATCCACCATTATATGTGTGGGTGGATGAACCTTTAACCTGTGTACCTTCAGCTTTTCTCCCCTGTGTGAGCGTACTCTCTCTGCCTCAGCGTGGCTGCAGTGTTGCTGCTCTCCCAGCACAACAAACCTTTGCTCTAGTCCTCCTGTGCTAGTCCACGCACGCACGTGACGTCGTACGTCGCCCCACCCACCCAGTAAACCACCTTGCGTATGGAAGTATGGCGGCCCCAGCTACAGAACTACTACTCGGCCAAAGTTTACTGCTGCGATTTTCACGTGAAAGCTATGAATAAGTACGAGAGCCAGGGGTTCGGTAACGAAGAGCTCGGCGACTGTGAACAGAGGAAAGGACTTGTAAAAAGAGTCGTCGCTCTCTGCCCGGCTGAGTTGCCTCGATTTGCCTTGATTAAAGTGCCTTTTAGTCCGGGTACCGCAGGGGAAGAAACTCCGCAAGACGAAAAAGTGGACACGGAAGTTTGAAACCAACTGTGGCTTTGGAAAGACCAGCTGCAAAGTGTTGAAAGGGTGGCGGTCAAATCATGTTTTTGTGAGACGTTTAAGTGCACTTGTCGGCGGTTTCCCTACCAGCGAGCCAGCGACAGCCAACTGTTGCCTGCTTGGTGTGCATTTAAGGGTCTGGCGCTGCATACCACCAGCAGTTGGTTAGCTTTCATGGCTATCTCCAACATTAGCTTAAGGTCGCCAGCTAACAAATCATATATATGTTTCTGTGACCGTGTAAGTTTCTGTAAACACTTGTTTTTACTCCCCACGGCGTTCGTAACTAGAGCAAAAGTTTGCTTTATCTGGCACATTTACTTCAGTGCCTGTTACTGATGATTAAATGATCTTTTTTTTCATTATTATTTTTTTTAACTTTGGTATTCCAATAAAATAAGGGCAGTATTGTTATGGCTATCAATACTTGCTACTTTTCTTGCTTTTTCTCTCCGTGACTAGTTTTTAAATCTAACACTTGGCAGTTTTTTTTGCATATCTATAATAGAATAAAATAGAATAGCCCTTTATTGTCATTGTACAACTAAATTATGGGTGCTCCACACCAACTGTGCGGAATAAAATGTAAATGGTAGATAGCAGGAATAAATATGAGTGTATCTTAACCTAGATTAGGGGTTTTAATAGCTATCTTTTTTATTTAAAGAGCCTTGAGGCAACTGATATTGTGTTTGGCGCTATATAGATAAAACTGAATTGAATAGACGGGCATTAAAATTAGAAAATTTAGCTGACGTTTAGGTTATAGGGAACAAGGGAAAACTAATTTGTATAGAAAAGGAAACACCTGACATCACAATTAAAGTGGAACACAATAAAACTAAATGAGCAGTTAAGATTAGCTTGTGGTTTGTTATTTGGCACATAAACTACCAGTCAAATTAGTTCTTGTTTTATTTTGACTTTAGGGTCATATATCTTTGTGTTAAATGAAATCATCACTGAATCTTGTTTTATTTGTCTCTAGATCGCTGTGAAATGTCCTGTAAAGCACTCACACTCCATTAATGCATGATAAACAGAGACATACTGGAGCATCACTGATTTGTGCTGGTGACCTCCATCACCTAAATTCTGGGAGGGGAGTGCCCGAGCCAGGGGAACGGATTCTTTTCTTTTCCCAATCTCCTCTTTTCCTGGTGGGCAACTGAGTCCAGCTTGGAGAGTCCCGGCTGCGGCCTGGCACCCTGCCCTTATGGGGCAGCAGCCGGGGAAGCTTGTAGGGGACCAGAGGAGACCCAGTTTGCCGGCCTTCATCAAGGGCTCGAAGAAGGAATCATCACGCCATGGGAACCAGCCCTGTAATGTTTTTGCTGTGCACGGTAAGATCAAATGTTTTTGTCACTTATTACGTTGACAGCAAATGGATTTCCTAAAGTATAATAAATTTGCTCAGTAGGGGAAATTCTTGATTGTTGAAGTGTGCATGTGTGCATTTTGAAGCTTTTTTTTGTTTGTTTTTTTGAATATCTTGTGTGGGCATTGGCCTGAAATCAAGCACAAAAAAATTCATTGTTATTTTTGACTCTCCCTGTGACAAACATTTTTTCAGCAGAATAAATCCCACAGTGAAAATGCACTTACTGGAGCAACCACTGTACATATTAGCCAAAGCTAAACATCGATTATGATCTGACTAATTAATCAATGAAGATAAAATAAATTGCTGTCCAGCTGCTATATTTATGTTCTTTTTAAATTTTACACACTTTGTGCATAAAAAACAGTATATTTTTAAAGCTCATTTTTAAGAAAAACGATGACATGTAGCTTGTATTTGATGGAAATCTATTAGTAAACATTACCAAATTAACTGTTTACTAATAGATTGAGGAAATGAGTTTACACTTGACCCTTTACAAGATGTAACTTAGTTTATTAAATGTGTGTTTATTATAATAATGACCTCCACAGATGGAAGCAATGTTCTAATGTAATGTCATAAAAGTTTTTTGAGCTTCTTGGGCACAGAAATGCCTTTAAACCTTCAACACAGTCTTTAAAATATTTTTAGCAAATGTGTGCAGTATGCTGAGGGTTTTTCTGACTTTACACTGTCAGACACACGAGATAAACTTTGAGTGACTGCTCATTGTCAACATGTCAAATCTTAACATGAGTGATCAGTCCAGGAATGTTTGGTAGTTTGGTTTAAAAATATACTTCAATGATTAATGGAATATCAGAATAGTTGCATTGTTTCTCCACACCTTTGCCTCTGGGTAAGACTAGCATACTGTTGGTGCAGAGCTTCACCACGTGTGAGAGAGAAGTCTTACCTGGGTGTGTGTCGTCTTTGTGGTTGGCGGGAAGTGCATCGTTTATGTCCATTTAAAGCCGTCTGATTTTGTTTCTGTTTTTCTGCTGGTTTGAGTCTCTTGTTTTTTGTCCACATATTCGATCAGAGCAGACTTCCATAGTTTTAAACATTGCTTATGAAACACTGTCATGTCATGTAT